TTGGGATGTGGGGGGGGGGGGGGGTTGCTTAAAGTCGGCCCCCTGAAGAATCGGGGATTTTATTTCATGTCTACTACTTGGGGGACATTGAACAGACCAAAATAGATCTTCTGCCCCAATTGCAACACACTTGGGATTTTAAATCTTTTCTTTCTTTCTTCACTGTTCTGCCTTTCTGTGCTTTGTCGTGTCGCCTGAGAAGCATGGCGAACACTTAAGGATCACTCTGTCCGTCATCAAACGTTGCCGTTGGCGGCGGCAGTCAACGTTAAGTTTTCCAGACTATTTTTCGCCACCATTTACCATTTCAATTTGTAACTTTGTATATGGCTTACTCATAATATATTACAGATCAAATTCGAACCACGTGCCAATATGTTATTCTTTTGCTGGAGTTACATGTATGGCCCTTTGCACATTGGAATTTCTCATAATTAACTGTTTGCCATACTTTGTTCGTTACCGCTTGCCACTTAGTATGGATTACAGTTTGAGTTCGAACAGTTAATAGTACATTTATTTGATGGAGTTATGGCCCTTTGCACATAGGAAATTTTCAAAATTATCTTTTTTTTAACTTAATTTTGCTACCGCTTGCCATATCAATTTGAATTTTGGCTTTATCATAATAGATTACAGAGTTTGAACCATGTATTTATATTCCATTTATGACTGGAGTTATGGCCCTTTTGCACATAGGAAATTATCATAATTAATTGTTTTCCGTATTATTTGTAACTTAGTATACATGTATAATGGATAACAGTTTGAGGTAGAATCCAGTGTCAATGTTCTATTTTTCTGGAGTTATAGCCCTTTGACCATAGAAAATTCTTATTAGTAACTGTATTTTTTTCGCGACCACTTGCCACATCAATACGTAACTTGATGCTTGACTTTTTCTTGAATGATGGATTACAGTTCGAGCTCGATCCTCATGTCAAATTCTATTTATTGGTGGAGACAACACACAGTCACACATAATAGGTATCATGCACTCATGATACTATCCACATATGACCTCAGATGTTGTGCGGACGTTAAGCTCCCTCAATCAACTAACAAGCAACTGAAAGCATAATGCTTTTCATATGGCTATTATAGTGACCATGGCATTTCAAATTGACACCCTTTAATTGTGTGGATGCATGTGCCTTCGAATTGTAGTTTTCTTCTATAGATGTCTCCTTGACACCCGTCCTCATATGACCCTGGTTGTTGCGAGGACATAAATCACCTATTATAATTCATCTTTTGAAGTCCTTCTGTATGGTTTGGTGATGTTTTCAAACCAATGGTCTGGAATATTACTTAATTAAGAAGGCTGAATGCCGTTTAACAGAGGGTCTCTCACATAATACTATGGCTACCTAGGGGGAGGGGTGGGTCCCAAAGGGGGATTCTCCAATTCAATTACACAATTTGTTGTTAGGACCCCTGCACATCTTTAGTAATCAGGTTTTCCGTCTGTCTGTCCTTCTATCTGTTTTTAGCTCCCCTGCCAATGACTAGTGAGCTTTTGCCCTGGTGCGGCGTCCGTCGTATGGCCATCGTCCGGCCCTCGTGCGTCAACTTTTCCCTTTATAACATATTCTTCTCAATAACCTAAAGGCCCAGATATCTTATATTGGGTCTGTAGCGTGCTTGGGTTAAGGGCTATCAAGTTTGTTCAAATGAATGACCTTCCCCGACTTTTCCAGGTCACAAGGGTTAAATGAGATAAAATGTTTAAACAGCTTATTTTCAATAACCAAGGGGCCCAGAGACCCGATATTGTGCTTGTAGCATGCTTGAATAAAGGACTACCAATTCAAGTTTGTTCAAATGAATTATCTTGCCTGCCTTTCAAGGTCAAGGATGTAAAATGTGATAAAATCTTCTCAATAACTAAGAGGACTATGAAATTGAGCCTATAGCATGCCTGGATGAGAGGCTACGAAATGTGTTCGAATGAATGGCATTGACCGAATTTTAAGGTCACAGGGGTCAAATGTGCTAACATCTTTAAACAACTTCTTCTCAAAAACCGAGAGGCCCAGAAACCTGATATTGGGCCTGTAACATGCCTGAATGAAGGGCTACCAAGTTTGTTCAAATGTATTACCTTGATCTACATTCAAGGTCACAGGAGTCAAATTTGCTTTATTTGATTAAAGCAGTAATGAGCTTAGCATCCACATAAATTACCTAGATCAGCTTCAAAGTTGCATTAGAAGCAAGTGTGCGATACAGGTCCATTGGGCTTCTTGTTTAATTTCTGAACAATATCTTCAGTAATTTTGGTTGGATTGCTTTCAGACTTTATCCAGTGCTTTTTTGAAGAAAGTGCTTGCTTTGAATAGCTTTTCAGGCCCGGCGGTCAAAGGTCAAGGTCACTGTTAACATGAATAGAAAATTAGTTTAGGCACACTATTTCCAATTCTGTTGGGATGATTACACTCGGGCTTTATCAAGTGCTACCTCGGAGAAAGTGCCTGCTTAGGTGCTTTGGTGGTTAAAGGTTAAGGTCATTGTTACTTTAGAAAGTATTTGCTTAGGATAACAATTGTAGCTTGTGAGTCATCGATGTCAAAGATCAAGGTTAATGTTACTATAAATAGAAACACATTTCATGTACAATATTTGGAGCGCTTTTGGCCGTATGCACTCAGACTTTATCCAGTGTAATAAAATGTTTGCTGAAGCCTTTGGATAGCTTTTCAGCCTTTGATATTAAAGGTCAAGGGTCACTTACTATAAATAGAACACCAGTTTGTGCACTGTATTTCGAATTCTGTTGGACTGATTACACTCAGATTTTATCTAGTCCATCCTGGAAGAAAGTGCCTGCTTGGTTTAACTTTTCAGGTCAAAGGTCAATGGCTCACTATAAATAGAAAATCTGTTTAATGCACTAATGCGAAATATCTTGATTTATCTTGTGCTGATTACACTCTGACTTTATCTAGTGCTTCCTTAAAGAAAGTTTCTGCTTGTGATAACTTTCAAAGCACGGGGGTTAGGTCTCTATCACTGTTACTATATGAATAGAAAATCAGTTTTAAAAAATGCGCTACTTATATTTTGAGTTCTTTCGGGCTGATTTCACTCAAGACTTTATCCAGTACTTTTATAAAAGAAAGCACTTGTTTTCACTAGTGTTTGCTACATGTATACATAACCACAGTTTGTTGTTTTTTTAAATCTTCAATAAATATAATTATGGAGATCGTTTCAAAGCAGTTCACAAATTATTATCCGTGGCTATAGGGCCTTTGCAACCAGCCAATATCAGTCTCGGCAAACTGGGGAACATAAGCCGCTGCTGCCATTTCGGCGCTCACAGCTAGCATTCAACAATATTAGCACAGCCCAACCACGAACTTATTTACAGCTGAGTAGACTGGAACAGGCGGAGTAAAGTAGCTTGCTCAAAGAAACAACACAGTGCCTTGACGTGACTCGAACCCACAATCCTTTGGTCACAAGCCCGGCATTCTTATATAGGACTACCGTGCTTCCTTAATGTGGAAATCCCCTGCATAATTGGAGATTTGCTTTTGTGTCCTCTACTTGGGGTAGCAAAAGCAATTAAAATGAATCTCATTTACTCACTGCATTATGTGGGGTCTTTATATTTCTCTCTAATTATCGCTATTTTTCATTAGCTTACATGTACCTTGGCGTCCGTCTTTCGTCCGTCAGTCTTCCGTCCGTCAACTTTCTTTTTTAAAACGACTTCTTTTTCATAACCGCTTATTGGAATTTGGCCAAATTTGAATGGAACCGACCCCCCGCTGGTGGAGATTCTAAATTGTACAAATGGAGAGGCTATTCCCCTGGGGGCTTAGGGGAGGGGTCAAAAGGGGTAATTTTGCCATATTGCTTTAAGAGACTTCGTCTCCGGAACGAGGAGAAGGATATCAAACATTGATATGGGTTGGAAGCATTCTCAGATGTTTGAAATTAAAAATTGTACAAATGGACACTCTAGGGGTGAGGAACGGGGCCAAAACCGGGATAATGTGGACATATTGTTATAAGAGACTTGTTTTCCTGGCCTAAGAAAAGTATATCAGCAATAATTGGTTCGAAGCATTCTCAGGTTATGGAGATTCAAAATGTACTAATAGAGGGGTTAACCCCGGGGGATGAATAGTGGGTCAAAAGGGAAACAACTTGCCTTAAAGATTTACGCGGCTTCTCAGGATATCAATCATATTGAGTAAGGAGTATTCTTCGGTGGTCGAAGATTCAAAATTGTACCAGTTGAAGAGCTGATCCCCGGGTTTTAGGGGCGGGGCAAAAGAAAAGACTTTTTAGCATTATCGAGACCCACGACCCATTACTCATTACCAGCACCATTAATTCAAAATTGTATCAGGGGTCAGGCCTCACTCCTAGGGACATAATTCTTGGATCATAGCTTTGAAACGATTGAGATCCTCGTCCCATAATTATATATACAGATACTGGGCATCAGGAGACGAGGCATATACACCAATATACCCTGTCTCTGACAGTGAGGCAATAACATAGCGATAACCATCACGTGTCTAATGATATCCTACAGCGACACATCTTCCAAACCACAAACTATCCTGATCAGTAGAATAAAAAAATATCACAAACCTGTTACAGGAAGAGGAACTGGTGCTTAAAATGCATATAGGGTAGGTGGGAGGATAACTGAATATACTGAATATACTTCCACTGATCTGGCTACCTCTTGTCGTAGATCACGTTCTAAAAACGGCAGTCGCACGTTTTATCTAATGTTCTAAAACCACAGCTGAGAAACGTCCGAATCAGTAATTACCCCGCTGAACACAACTCTCGCAACTTATACAAAATCTTATTTTTTTTAACATAACATTCGACAATCTTGCATAAAATTTGGTAAATCACACATTTGTTACTAGTAGTGTGATATCTATGGATTTTGTTATTACGGCTGAAACAGATGATTTCAAAACGTCTTGCAGTGTATGACTAATGGTAAATGCAACATTATTTTGTAGAAACGCTGCAAGGTCTGAATCAGGATCAACAGAACCAACGTGGTAAACTTTTTAATATTCAACAAAAGCAGCAACATGTCATACTCTCGTGTTAACGGTTAACTCCTGTCGATGCATTGTTTATGTAGCAACATATGCTTTAGTTAAGAAAATGATATCTTAATGGAAGCAAATTATTTCTGTAATGCTAAATATTTATATAGGTAATCTGTTATCAAATAGTGTTATGTGAATAAACATTGGTCTTACATTGTATCATTGATTGAATTACTCTGTTTTATCGAAGAGCTGCAGGACCAAAATATATGGCTACAGACAGAAAATGGTAAGTTTTTTATACAATGCCAATTACTTCATTTTTGTGTGTGTTTAGAGCATGACATTTGCTCCAAGTTTCGAATTTCGTATAATTAAGCAGAACTTTAAAACAGACTGAAATTTTATGAATTCACATAGCAACGGTACAGATCATTGGGCCATTTTAGAAACAAAATGTAGCTAGTTACTGATTTTTCATTTTGCTATTGGAATAATGGCGAGTGTCGTCGCTGAAACAAAAGACTCTTAGCATTCCGCAACACTCGGTCTTATTCCTCTCTTACTTTTCAATGGTCTTTATTCCTGTATTACATTTTACATTGTAGTCTTTGTTTCATAACATTTAGTTACAATTATGGCATTGTTCCCACTCTGATTTCATGTCCGGAGCCTGCATTTCATTACCACCTATAATTTAAAAGCAAATGGTTATTGAAAAAAATGTTGACTATTGATTGTAGTTCAGTTTAATACGGATGTTATTCAAGAGAATATCGAAGTTTTCGTTCTCATCAAACATGCTGTGGGCTACTTTCCTATTTGGATTAAGACAGGACTATCTGCAATGGAATTTGTGTTTACTGCAGAAAAGAGAGGAAATCATTCAAGAATAAAATTTCAACTAGGTCTATATTATAATAAACTTGGGCCTAGTTTTAGTCAAGTATGTGGAAGTATCAGCTCCATTGGTTAGTCTGGTGATGCCAACTTGTTTGAACAACCCTAAAACTGTTATTTCTATTTGCCGTCTCATTTACATTTTTTGGTCTGGTTCCCAGTTCTATTTTTTTATTCAGGAAAACGCAGATCTGTTTTCTAGTTCGGAACTGGAAGATGCACTAGCAGACATGTTTCTGTTAAAGAAGACGGCGTATATACATGCCATTGGAATAAGTACAGCTCTGCGACACAGTTTCAAATTTTAAATTACCCCACCCTGGACACTCAAGATTGAATATTCAATGTAGTTTCGTTCTAGTCTTGGATTTATTGTTGACATATTACTTTTCAGAAATTTTCAAAGGACTGGTACAAGAACAAGAACAAGAAAATCGTAAGTACTCCGATATACAAAGTGAGCACTAACGTGGCCAACAAAACATTTGGAATTTGATTTAACATCGAATAAACTTTGTATGTCCTCTATTGCAGATATATGACAGCATATCATAAGGTACATTCTAGGAATGATATCATACTGGCAATGATTCGTTTGATTTTGACAGCAGTCAAAATGGCATCAAGTGGTCAAAAATACAATGAATAAATGAATAACTATATGAACTGGAATTACATTTCTGTTCATATTCAAATGTACCCATCATTTATCTAAACTTGCAGTTGGAATCCACGCCTTTTGACGTCAAATCAAACCAGGGGCACAAAGTACAGTTAACAGCTGCCATGTATTAAGTTATTTAAGTAACATAAACAAGCATACATTTGCATCCCGCCAACTTTATATAATAATTTGATTTCACAGTATTGTTTTATGCGTTTTCTTTAAGATCACAGATTATAATATAACCGGGACAGTTGTAATCGGTGAAATATATTTGGATTAGTTTCTTCCAAATCGAATCACTGTTTGATAAAGTCTGATGAATAAAGTGGAACTTTTCAGTGTGTATGATGTAACATTAATATGCATTTTGTTTTGAATATAAACGAAAATGGGTTAATTGTGAACTGTTTAATTTTCTACAACGAGAACGTCTGGTTGTAAGGTAAGTATAGATTTCAAATAAGCTAAATGTTGTGACATGTTTTATAAATGCTGCAATATATCTGTCCATTTCTCGTTACACATTCTTTTTTGTATGTGCTACGTTTAGCGACAAGTATTATTTACATGTTCACTTTAGTTCTAAAAATTATCAGGTGCTCTGTGACTAGTTATGATTTAATTACACGTTGAGCATATCAGTTTTGAAATAAGATCGCGCTCATAAAAATGTCAGTAATATGTTCTGTAGGCCGGCGTCATAGCACAGTTGGAACAGACGGTCACCGATGGTATTGGAAAAACGAACGTGATAGAACATGGGAAGAATTTGATGACGCCAACAATGACAGACTAGAAAGGAAAAGGTGTAAAGGGAAAAGATTTGCACATGTACAAGAGGGTAGTCACTGGTAGGTGGTATTCACACATAATGAATAATAACTGTCTATAGCACATCTTTCTTTGCAGTTTAGTGGTATGTTTATCCCCATGCGAATTGCATGTTTCAACAATGACAATCTGAAAGGGAAAGGTTTGAAGGAAAACTATTTGCAGATATTCTAGTGGATAGAGAATGGAGGAAAACATAATAATTGTCTATCGTACAGTTTTTCTCGCAGTTTTGTAGTATATGTTCGACTATGCAAATTGTTTGTTCAAATCGCTGATTTTTTGACCGCATAGGATACATTTGTTGAGCATATGAAACACCCCATTCAAAAGTCTACATGTGTAAGCAAATAGCTCATCATTTGACAACAACAAAAAAGGAAAATGTCACCACAATTCGTTTTCAATTTTATTTAGTCTTACCGATATGTACTGAATATTACGCAATGTCCCCACTGGACTTGTAGATGTTTGATTTCATTCAGACCTTCGTTTTCCTGATATAATCTTCAATGTTGATAGAATGTTCAATTAATTGAATTATTAAAGCAGAAATATATAGGAACGATATAAATATCATTCTCCGTATCACCTTCCTTTCAATAACAATATATGTAATTAGTTATTGAAAAACTACCAATCAATTGATTCAATGTAAATAGCATGAAAAAAATTCAAGCACTTCCATGTTTATTTCTTTTGTTCATATTTTGCCCTATTTTTTTTAACTGGCAGCAGGATTTCTATAACACTTCGGGAGTCTGTTGTTGTTTATTGTGATACACGATTTTATAAATAGATGATAATCAACATATATTTACTTGTATGAAACATTATACTTTGAAGGCAGCAGGTGACATTTGATTCGATGAAAATGAAAATAATCAACTTTGATGTTGAAACCGAAGTTAAACGATCAGGTTCGTATCGATTTATGTGTATTTGGATAAGTAAAAAGGGAACTATGGGATACTGACTTATCTTAGATATAAACGAACAGTATTTGGGAAAATGAACATATATAACAGGTGCAAGAAGTAGTAAAAAAATAGTTGAAAATAAATTTAGAAGCATTTGTAATCAGCCATCTCAATAGAAAAGTTTTGTTTCTGAAAAGGAAACATTTAAGAATCAACAAAACAACTTAAGTCCTCCTTTCCAAGTTTTCTCCAATAGTATTCTGAACTCTTCGGAAGCTGTTTTGAAGGATATACATATCAATTTAGAATTTCTTCCGATGTTTACAGGTAGTAAGCCGCTGTATGAAGGATTCGGTAAGCTATATTTTCATAGATAAGTGACATGTATTAGACTCAGCAAATATACATTTAATGTTTATACTTCAATTTTGTATTTATGTAATACTGAATAAGCATTATCTACTCACCGTTTTTAATACTGATTTTACTGATCGAACCTATCTATCATCTATTGACGTACCATCGCCAACGCCATGGAGCGGGTCAAAAAAGGGGGCGGATAGCATTTGTTTCTACCTGTCAATCTGTCAGTTCAGCAGAATTTGATGATACACATGTATCGTCACCTTAAGACAAGTTTATATATGGACGTAAACGTTTAAATGCCAAGGTTACAACTTTTTAAACATTATATACATCAATATGTAAACAAACAATAATCTGTTGAAGTTCAATGTTGTTAAAATATTAAATAAACAATGGTTTGTTATCGACATAAACAGTTATTTTTTCTTTGGAATATATCTAATCAAAAAATCCTGACTATGTAATTGATATGGCGCTCAACTGTCCATCTGTCTTTCTTTCTATTTCTTTTTCTTTTCTGTCTCTCAAATCAATATGTGAGGAACAACATTTTATTTTAAACTGTATGTATCTTGGATTAATTTTATTTACGGTAGCATATGGGAAAACGTTTCCATCTGATGACGACAGAGACCAATCAAAACCTATGAAGAGAAATAAGAAAAAGAACAGGGAAAAGGATACAATGCAGCCATTATCGAATCGTGATGACCAACAACGCCAAGACTACGCAGGTTCGTTCAGTTAAAATATCTTTTGTATTTAAAACAAACGATAACTATTTTTTGAATAATTTAATTAGTTTTGTATTGTCAGAAAATTAACGAAATGTTTCTGTTGGTTTAAACGTGAGAAAAATTACGATGGTATGAAACAGATATTCTCCAGGATACATTACCACTCATCTTGATTTCATGAGATGTGTTGAGTTACTGCATGCAGTCAGTCATAACTATTTAAAAAGATACATATCAGTTCTTTCTTAATCGACTGGAAGACACCTTACACAATTAAACAGAGATTTGAGAACAGTTTCATGGTATCCACCAAACAGATCCGACCTCACTTATACATTGAGTCTTTGCTATGATACAAATGATAGACGAGGCGTCTTTTCCCACCTATTTGAAGTATACTGAACTATGTGTATGTCAGTTTTAGACTTCTAGTTCCATAAGTAATTTCTGTGTTGCAGCAATAGAATGAGCATGTGCGTATGGCTTGCTTTGTAATTCCTCTTTTACAATTAACAGGGGAAGGAAAACTCGAACAGCAACTACTGAGGAAAGGAGGGGACGATAGAAGTGATCCAGGTAGGACAGTTGTATGAGCGATAAATGTCTGGGGGTTTTTTCTTTCTTCAAAATCAGATGAAAACAAAAATGCATTTCATATAGAAAACGCATAACAAACTTCATCTGATGCTTTATTATTACGCACATGATGCTAAAATATTACGCACATAATCACCTTATGTCTGCTTAGGATTTTGAAAATAACCCTTAAACAGTCTGGAGCTATGTTCATTCGAAAAATAGAAACACAAACCAAAATACCAGATTTACATACTAGACACGTCAGAATGACAGACCAATAAAGAGCCGTATTGGCGAACTACACAATAGTATTTACTCAGGAAACAGAAAAAAACATGTCCTGGGTCGATCGTATAAAAGATGAAACTATATATAACGTAGCGATAAACCTCGATAGTGTCTCTTAAACATATGAAAAGCTAAACATATCAAAGCCACCAGGCCCAGACACCCTTCATTTGCAACTGCTTAAGGAACTGAGTTCTGTTATGAGTCTACCACTGTCAATAATTTTCAACAACTCAATACAAACTGAACAGTTCCCCAGGAATGAGAAGAAGCTAGTGGCACAGCGACTTTCAAAAGGGAAACCGTAAAACAGCCAGTAATGATCCGCTTAACTTGTATATGTTGTTCAGTACTAGAAACAATTGTAGGGTAAACCATAATAAAATGCACGCATATCAATACAATATACAGCAGGAGACAATTTGTATTCATTCAAGGAAGGTCCACCGTTCTACAATTAATCCAAATAGAGTTGTGAAACCGCAACAAAAATAGCGTGCGCACATCGTGTATTCATCGAGCGCACAATGTCCGCATATAGTCCACACATGGTGTGCATAACTGATCTACTTGACACGCGTTTGCCCCTGTGTGCGCTTCCCTCCGCACAAATGTGCGATTTGTTACAATTGGTTGAATAATATTACGGAAAAACTCCAGAAGGCTCGTACGGAATAAAGAACACTGTGTACATAAATGTCTCATCATATTTATTGAGATAATGTTCAGTTTTACAATGCCACTTACACTGTACTATGGTGACTGTAAGACTGTCAAGTTTTACTTGGCGCCCTGTGCCTGAAATAGAGAGCCGATTTATGATACCGTTTGTCTGGTACGAAAACACAACTTGACATTAAGTTTTTGTTATTTGCATTCGTTTTGGTCTATATCTCCCCTTCATCTGGATTTGTACACATTGACGAGTTACGTAAGTGTCCCAGGTGTAGCAATCTTCGGTCCACGTACATGTATAATGTGGCTATGTTTGCCTGTACTTTGTTATAATTTACATGTGTTGATTAAGGTCGTTTAAAAATTCACCATAACACCATTTCTGAAAATTAAGAAAACATAAAAAGATCAGCTTATATATATATATATATATATATAAGCTGATCTTTTTATGTTTTCTTAATTCACCATAAAACCATTTCTGAAAATTAAGAAAACATAAAAAGACCAGCGTATATATATATATATATATGTAGCTATAATAAAGAAACATATTGAACAAATAAAGGCTATATGTTTCAACACGAAACCGTTTATATCGTTATGCCATATCTCAATTTACACCAATCAAGATTGTCATCGGACAACATTCGTCCGTCGACCGCATACATGTACGCAAGAAATAATTGTCCAGATCTTAATCGTTCGCACATCGTGCACAGATCGCATGCACACCACACATCGTGTAACGTTGTGCGATCCCACAACTGTAATTGATGACTGAACGGAAATTCTTGATTCAGGAAGTTGCTTTGATGTACATTATTATGACTTTAGACAAAATTCCCCACCAGCGACTCATTCGTAAAATGGGGATGTGTGGTTTTGCCGTTAAAATTACGAGCTGGATAAAGACAGTCCTTCTAACTCGTAAACAACGTGTAATAGTAAAAGGAGACGCATCCTGCTGGATAGAAGTCACAAGGATCAGTACCAGGACTGGTTATATACGTAAATACCAGATGGTACAAGGTATGCATACCAAAAACATACCTTTTCGCAGATGATACAACATATTCAAAATCTATTTGCGAGCGCCTACAAATAGACCTGCTAAAACACAAGCATGATCCTAATGTTTCTAAATTCATTTCATCTTTTAGTTGTACCATCACCACGAGAAAACATGAAAAAAACAAGAAGAAAAAAGGCAAGGGAACATTCCTTCCTCCATAAAACCGTGGGTGATACTGAACAGTCTGCCACCTGAGGTTGTAACGTCACAAACTGTTTATGCATCCGAATATACACTTAACCACCATTATAAGATCCAACCACTTCTCTATAACAACAGGGAACGTATTGAGGCCAAGATGCTTTAATAATTATAGTAATTTGATTAATAATTCGAAGTTCTTACATACCGCTTTATCACAACCTAGATCGAAGGTCGTCTCAAAGCGGTTCACAAATAATTATCCGTGGTTATAGGGCCTTTGTAACCAGCCGATATCGTTCTCAACTCCCTGGGGAGCATACAGCCTGTGTTGCCATTTCGGCGCTCACAGCTAGCATTCTACAATTTTAGTACTGCCCAACTTCGTACTTATTTAGAGCTGAGTAGATTGGAATAAGCAGAGTACAGTATCTTGCTCAAAGATTCGACACAGTGCCGTGCCGTGACGCGAACCCGCCACTCTTCGGTCACGAGACTGGCGTCCTACCACGAGACTACCGCGCTTCCTGACTGTCATGTAACTAGAAACACATACGAACATAATTTACCAACATACCATTAAAACTGCTGACTTGTTCGTACCTGAAATATAATGCAAATAATTGTTAATGTATGAACTTATAGTTAAAGAGATGTGACACAATCAGCAACGGGCTTGCACAAATAATGATAAATGTTTTTTGTTTTTTTTCTATATATAGTAAAGCTGACAGTAGAAGAAATGTAAACATTGCTATTGTCAGAATACATTTTGTGTATCTGTATACAGTGTAATAAAGTTTGGTTGACAATAATGAGGGATACACTGGTACACTGTATTGTTTATAGATGGATCCGATACCGACCATGAAAAGCGTTACACAGAAATACCTCCTCCCACAGACAAACGTGTTGTTACTTTACCAGATCGCAGTAGCAGTAGTGATCGAGTTCAGAAGATAGGGGGTAAGTATCGACATATTTGTGTTTTGATTAGCCAACGCCACGTGCTACAAGCTTATCATAACCTTTCGATGTACACTATACAGTAGGTTTCTGTTATAATGATTAACATAAATAAAACAGTAAACGTTTCGAATTCAGTGTATACGACACTACTGTATTTTATAGGATATACATATGTTTTTCACTTTGATGATGTGATATATTTTCAAACATTTTCATTTTAATATACGTATATCTTCTTCCGAAAAATGCCAAACGTTTGATTTTTGTTTCTTTCAAATCTGAAAAAACCCATTGTTGGAATAATGATTAATACTTTTATTTACATACAGAAGCCGACTTTTCTACCTCTGATGACGACGATGATGAATCGAAACCTGGAAGGAGAAATAAGAAGAAAGATGTCGAAAAAGACAAAAGATATAAGAATGGAAGACAGAAGGACGATAAACACGATAAGCGCACAGGTTTGCTTCGTCTGTAGCCATCGCTGTTTATATACGTATCAGTCGTATTTGTCTTCTCTTTTAAATCCCTTTTCTCCTAAACTGCTGTTATGATGATAATAAACAAGAGGCCCAGTGGGCCTGCATCGCTCACTTGGTTTTCACCCCTTTGACCTTGAAATTCGAACAAAGTCATTATGTTGAACAAATCTTATAGCCCTTTATCTTAGGATGCAACTTGCAAAACATCACCACCCTATCCTTTTGTTTAGGTCATTTACATGTTTAAACATATTTGAGTAAATGTGATCTCGAAAATTGGTAATGGTTTTTAATTGAAAAAGCTTGATAGCCCTTCCTCTAAGCATGCTACTCGCTAAATAAAGTTTTTATAGTTTGGGCCTATCGGTTATTCAAAAGAACTCCTTTAAAGGTTTCAAACAAATTTGACCCCTCTGACCTTGAATATAATCAAGGTCATTCACTTGAACAAACTTGGTAGCCCTTAATCCCAGCATGCTACTGACCAGATATCAATAGTCTAGGGTTTATTGTTATGCAGAAGAAGTTTTTTAAAGTTTTTGAACATATTTGATCCCTGTGACCTTGAATAAATGTCAATGTCATTCATTGGAAGAAACTTGATAGCCCTTTATCCCAGCATGTTACAGGCCAAATATCAGCATCATGGGAATTTTGGTTATTCAGAAGAGGTTGTTTAAAGTTTTGTTATAGACAATTGATCCCTGTGACTTTGAATATAAGTGAATGTCATTCATTCATACAAACTCAGAAGCATTTTACCCCAGCATGCAACTGAACCAATAGCATCACTCTTGGCATTTTAGTTATTCAGAAGCAGGTGTTTAAAATTATTTAAATAGCTGACCCATGTGACCTTGAATATGGGTGAAGGTCATTTATTTGAACAAACTTGGTAGCCCTTCATCCCTGCATGCAATTGGCCAAATTTCACCATACTGGTCCTTTTGGTTATTCAGAAGACGTTGGTTAAAGGTTTTTAAAGACAATTGAACCATGTGACCTTGAATATAAGTTAAGGTCATTCATTTGAACAAATTTGGTAGCCCTTCATCCAAGCATGTTACTGGCCAAATAGCATCACCCTGGACATCTTGGTTATTAAGAAGAAGTTATTTAAAGTAAAATATTGACGCCGGCAGACGGACGGACGACAGACGGACGACGGGCCAGGTCAGCTAAAATTTAATACGAGTAAAGTGCTTTTAGCGTGAAGCATAATTCGGCCAATTGACCTTAATGTTGTATAAAGGAAGAGTATGGCATAAGTGTTGGTGAGAAGAATATAAGATTTGTTTGTGTTAACAGGGATGATTTCCGGTGGGCTCAATTGGCAAAGTAATGTTACTTTAGTACGGACCTATTGTCTTACACATGCTTTTTTTGATTGCAGAATAATGTATTGTATAATCCTTGCAAACAGAAGTATTAAGCATAGTCAAAGCCTGTGGAATATCTCTGTTTCGCGAAATAAAAAAATACAAACACATAGAGTTGAAAATAAAGAGAAGGAATGCTATATAAATAGTTTGACGTAAGTTATGTTACCAAAAAAGGTCAAGCTAGTCAATAATATCATGAACAATTATTTTGGAATCGGGGGCAATCAGTTAGTTTTTTCAGTAACAGACACAAACATGAAATAGTATTCAAATATATTGATATACGAAAATTATATAATGTATGAACACCATTGATTATCCTATGGAAGCCTATTTCTTCACTCGAAGAAAAGAAAGAAAGTATATTATTTTATTTCTATATAACTTTAGTTACAAATACTGCGTGTCTTGATGTATTATGCATAAAATGGAAACATTAGCAAACGCTGTTGAGACAGGAAGAGGTTAGGGGTTGGGGTTAGCAAGGTAACAGTATAGTCGTAATCAATTTTAGCCTGCGTATACTTTGATTTAAATCGAACTGGTTCTTATTTATAATTTTCACAACGATACTTCCCCTTTGTAGATTAGCAATACTACCAAGGTTATTAAAACGTCTGTCATAACATTGACAGAAAGGGGCGCTATATACCGAGGATACCTTATTGTCATGGATGTGGTTACTTCTTGCTAGATTAATTCAAGATAATCTGAGTTAAGGTCACATATATGTGTGTAATATGTATGCATCTTTGGCATATATTAGCACACCGCTACCACAGTTAATCCTATCTTTCTTTTGAAAATATGTCTTGAATTATAGAGTGAAATATCGTTACCAAAGTTGTCATTGAGTTTCAGAAAATTAGGCCGTAATGATACATACTTGCCTTGTAGTAAAAAAGATGACCTACGAAATGATAGTTAATTACACCTAGTAAAATTGCTAAGCACGTTCCGACATAGTGTTTATGTATCTGTTTATTCACGAATTGTTTTGCGGGGTCGCGGGTGGAAACAACACTTATTTATTGTAAACGTTAGCTTCAGGTAATTTGTTCAACTCGTTCTAAGCTTCTTTAAAAGAACTCTTCCACTGAAAAAAAAACCCAACCTGTTGATGGTATATGGTTTTCGAAAATAATGGTTATATTGGTATAGCGATAGAAGTGTTGACAAATATTTGATTGTCGGTTTAGCCCATTGTTTCATGCTACATGCCTATATATTCAAGATTGTCATGAATTATGGTAAAAGCATAGTCTCTTTTGAGAATAAATCACTTGTTTAGGAAATGTTTTGAATTGAAAAAAAAAAAACTTCACTTTATATTTGAAAGGGAAAAGAAAATCGGCACAGCAACGGTCAAAGAGGAATGGAGACGAAAGAAGTGATCCAGGTACGACAGAATGTTTTAACTTGCTAGAAGTATTGGTGTTTGCTAGACAAAAATATATGATGACGCGCATTGTGTTCTTTACAATGGATCTGATAGCGACAATAATAAGCACTTTACAGGAAAGTCCTCAACGAAAAAAGAACGTGCCGGCTTAGCACATGCCGACATTTTGTTTATGTTTTTTTGTTTATTCATGTATTGTTTTGCGGGGTTTGGGTTGGTATATGATTGATGTAATAATGGCTATATGGATAGAGCGATAAAACGTTAAGTGTTTACACATATTTAATCTTCGGTCTAACCCGTAGTTTTATGTGACGCGCCGATATATATTACAGATTATCAGAAAATACTGTAAAATCATGCTCTAATTTAAGAATAAATCACTTGTTTGACATATGTATTGACTTCAAAATTCACACGTATTTGAAAGGATAACGAAAACTGGCACAGCAACGGCCGAAAGTAAATGGAGACGAAAGAGTGATCCAGGTACGAAAGTGTGTTTTAATTTGTTCAGGTTGCTAGACTTAGGTTTTTCCAGACATATATATGATGACGCGCATTGTATTCTTTACAGATGGATCTGATAGCGACAATGGAAAACACTACACAGAAAAGTCTACAGCAAAAAAGGACAGTGCCGCTTTGCCAGGTCACAGCAGCAGTTATGATACAGTTTGTCAAACCGAGGAATTTGGTAAATACCCGAGTATATCTATATATATATGACCTATCAAAGTAACCTCTTTTGATCTCTCACTCCTTATCTGTTAGATCGTCTGCCTGTCTGTCTATCTTTTACCTCTGTCTCTGTCTGTCTGTCTGCTCTGTCTCTGTCTGTCTGCTCTCTCTCTCTCTCTCTCTCTCTCTCTCTCTCTCTCTCTCTCTGCGAGAGTGACTGATTGACAACAACCGATTTTTTTTAACATAATTAAGGACCCTTTTACTTATTGCAACAGATGAGGATGGTTCTCAATCTGACCACGGCATGAAGAAATGGAAACAGAGAAGGAAAAAAAGAGAAAGCAATGAAGACAAACAAACAAGACAAGCGTCTGGCAAACAAAGTTATTACATCGCAGGTTTGTTCAGTTTATCTTGATATTAAAATAATTGTTGATCAATTTATGGTATAGAAGCATTAATCAATGTGTAAGACAACTGGTACTACCACACATATCAAAACTTATTATATTATTCCAATAGTACACGTTCTGTATATCATGCGTGTGGTTTACGGAGCATTTTATCAGAACGTTCGACTGGGAATCTGTTTGGCTTGAACTCATTGGGTGTTATTTTCGCTGGTAAAATGTTTGAATGGAAACAAGAATTAATCCAAACCGTTTTTGACATTTTACGTTATGTTTAAATGGTATTTGCTTTCCTTCCGCGTCGTCGATTTGTTGTCGTACGAGTTTCTACGAAGCAATTTAAACATGTATAACAATAGTGATGAATGCTGTTCAGAAATTACAATATGAATATTAAGAAAATTGTGATACGTAAAATGAAACCATAATATATAATATGACGTTATATGACATTGTCGAAAATAAATTGGGACATATACGTACCATGACATAGGTATAATCTGAATGACTAATGTGAACTTATCTTTTTCAAAACAAATGTCACATTTTACATAAGGTGATGTCAATACGTCTGATGAAATAAGTGAGAAGAAAAATACACATCACCAAGGCCGTAGACGGGACAGTGTGGATGAGGAAGGACAAACAATATCTTTGGACGACACAGGTGAGATCAGGGAAATGCAGTAGCCTGCGTCCTCTTTTATCTGTTCAGTAAAAGGGCAACTGTTTACCTCGTTCATTGATTATAATATAAATTGGATTCATTCTTTATAACATTTCAACTTCTCTTCACTTCATAAATCGAATATTTCTTATTATTGTAATGTTTTCGAATCATTGCATGTCATTGTAACTATAAAAAAACCGGAGTGTTTGACATATTACAGCACGTTGTTTTATAAATGTTTAGTAGATTCTAGCAAAAATTAAACTTGTTATTTCATGCATGTTGCATGACATGAACAATTAATACTCGCCCTTTTCGATTTAATTTCTTATGTCGATAACATATTCGGGGATAATTAAATTTGAACTTGCTTTACGCTTTATATTCGACAACGCCCGGTCGTATTATCTGCGTAACTGTTCTAGTTCATAAAAAGCAGCGGTTTGAAAAAGTTGGAAACGATAGAAGAGATCAAGGTAAAGGGTTTCAATTTACTTTTAAATTAGCTGAAAATACATACCGTTTTAAGTAGAAAATGCGTAACAGAATCCAGAGGATATTTACTTATTCAAGCGTGTTTGACATTTTTTTAGTGTTTTTACGAGCACTTTATTGTTTATAGATGAATCTGATACCGACTCTAAAACAGTTACAAAGGAGTGACTCCATCCAAAGACAGTATACCATTCTGTGTCATTTTTGTGTTGGTACACAAAGCAGTGTTTATTTTTTGCATTTCTTATACAATTAGAATATCTTATCACATGTATAAACAAATTCATCTATATCATCTACTTATTATTAACAGATGCAGAACCATCTCCTCCTGGTGACGACAGTAAGAAACATAAATCAGGTATGAGAAAGGGAAATACGTATGTTAAAACAGAAACAAATTAACCATCTGGAGGACGTAAACACAAATCAGTCGACAATAACCCAAGTTTGTTTCGTATACAGACATTATTATTGCTATTTAACATCAGCCATATACATATAGTATTTCCTTTCCTGAAGCATCTCTGTCGGTAGGGCGTAAGAATATTGTACCTGATGCCCCCAAATGCATGATCGTAAGAGGCGACTAAATTTGGGATCTCATATCTTATCTCCTTTTTTAATAACTTTCTTCTTACTAATGTCTCCATTGACAATGCCTCACTTTTGGCCATTTGTTGAGCGTTCGCCCATGTGAGGACGGCTTTGGATTCTGTCCCAGGGCTGAGACTTACCAAAGTAGTTAAAATGGTAGTTTTTACTCCTGCTTAACGCTCAGCAAATTAGGAGTGGGACGATTGGTTCGCCCGTTGTCAGTATAATGTGGCCGGTGGGGCATCCTTCTGGGTGTCTGCGGCAGTATGTTTCAGTGAGGTAGCACTATCAAGTCGGCATCAGTTCCGCTCTATCACAATGAGACAAACACGAACATATCGCAGTCTCCCAAAATACACATACATACATTACAAGCATGCATATTGCACACAGGGGAGGCCGTCCTTAAATGACCTTAGCTGTTAATAGGACGTTACACAAAATCAAACCAAACCAAACCAAATTTCCTGAAGCGACAATCAAAATGAACTAGAACAATTAAGGGTGGGGCAAGACTCGTGAGTAAATCGTTACCAAAGTTGTCATTGAGTTTCAGAAAATTAGGCCGTAATGATACATACTTGCCTTGTAGTAAAAAAAAGATGACCTACGAAATGATAGTTAATTACACCTAGTAAAATTGCTAAGCACGTTACGACATAGTGTTTATGTATCTGTTTATTCACGAATTGTTTTGCGGGGTCGCGGGTGGAAAGAACACTTATTTATTGTAAACGTTAGCTTCAGGTAATTTTTTCAACTCGTTCCAAGCGTCTTTAAAAGAACTCTTCCACTGAAAAAAACAACCTGTTGATGGTATACGATTTCGAAAATAATGGTTATATTGGTATAGCGATAGAAGTGTTGACAAATATTTGATTGTCGGTTTAGCCCATTGTTTAATGCTACATGCCTACATATTCAATATTATCATGAATTAGGGTAAAAGCATGGTCTCTTTCGAGAATAAATCACTTGTTTAGGAAATGTTTTGAATTGAAAAAACAACAACTTCACTTTATATTTGAAAGGGAAAAGAAAATCGGCACAGCAACGGTCAAAGAGGAATGTGTTTACACATATTTAATCTTCGGTCTTACCCGTAGTTTTATGTGACGCGCCGATATATATTACAGATTATCAGAAAATACTGTAAAATCATGCTCTAATTTGAGAATAAATCACTTGTTTGACATATGTATTGACTTCAAAATTCACACTTATTTGAAAGGGAAACGAAAACCGGCACAGCAACGGCCGAAAGTAAATGGAGACGAAAGAGTGATCCAGGTACGAAAGTGTGTTTTAATTTGTTCAGGTTGCTAGACTTAGATTTTTCCAGTCATATATATGATGACGCGCATTGTATTCTTTACAGATGGATCTGATAGCGACAATGGAAAACACTACACAGAAAAGTCTACAACAAAAAAGGACAGTGCCGCTTTGCCAGGTCACAGCAGCAGTTATGATACAGTTTGTCAAACCGAGGAATTTGGTAAATACCCGAGTGTATATATATATCTATGACCTATCAAAGTAACCTCTTTTGATCTCTCACTCTTATCTGTTAGATCGTCTGCCTGTCTGTCTAGCTTTTACCTCTGTCTCTGTCTGTCCGCTCTGTCTCTGTCTGTCTGTTCTCTCTCTCTTTGTCTCTCTGCGAGAGTGACTGATTGACAACAACCGATTTTTTTTAACATAATTAAGGACCCTATTACTTATTGCAACAGATGAGGATGATTCTCAATCTGACCACGGCATGAAGAAATGGAAACAGAGAAGGAAAAAAAGAGAAAGCAATGAAGACAAACAAACAAGACAAGCGTCTGGCAAACAAAGTCATTACATCGCAGGTTTGTTCAGTTTATCTTGATATTAAAATAATTGTTGATCAATTTATGGTATAGAAGCATTAATCAATGTGTAAGACAACTGGTACTACCACACATATCCAAAACTTATTATATTATTCCAATAGTACACGTTCTGTATATCATGCGTGTGGTTTACGGAGCATTTTATCAGAACGTTCGACTGGGAATCTGTTTGGCTTGAACTCATTGGGTGTTATTTTCGCTGGGAAAATGTTTGAATGGAAACAAGAATTAATCCAAACCGTTTTTGACATTTTACGTTATGTTTAAATGGTATTTGTTTTCCTTCCGCGTCGTCGATTTGTTTTCGTACGAGTTTCTACGAAGCAATTTAAACATGTATAACAATAGTGATCAATGCTGTTCAGAAATTACAATATGAATATTAAGAAAATTGTGATACGTAAAATGACACCATAATATATAATATGACGTTATATGACATTGTCGAAAATAAATTGGGACATATACGTTCCATGACATAGGTATAATTTGAATGACTAATGTGAACTTATCTTTTTCAAAACAAATGTCACATTGTACATAAGGTGATGGCAATACGTCTGATAAAGTAAGTGAGAAGAACAATACACATCACCAAGGCCGTAGACGGGACAGTGTGGATGAGGAAGGACAAACAATATCTTTGGACGACACAGGTGAGATCAGGGTAATGCAGTAGCCTGCGTCCTCTTTTATCTGTTCAGTAAAAGGGCAACTGTTTACCTCGTTCATTGATTATAATATAAATTGGATTCATTCTTTATAACATTTCAACTTCTCTTCACTTCATAAATCGAATATTTCTTATTATTGTAATGTTTTCGAATCATTACATGTCATTGTAACTATAAAAAAAACCGGAGTGTTTGACATATTACAGCACGTTGTTTTATAAATGTTTAGTAGATTCTAGCAAAAATTAAACTTGTTATTTCATGCATGTTGCATAATATGAACATTAATACTCGCCCTTTTCGATTTAATTTCTTATGTCGATAAAATATTCGGGGAAAATTAAAGGGCCGGTTTCCAAAACGGCCCCTTCTCTGATTCAAATTTCCTGTTGGTGGTGCATTGCCCATGCCGTTGTGGTCACAAATCTATAAAGTATAAAGATTTAGGTCACTTGGTTTGTTTTTTATGGCTCCTCAAAGTTGTACCTTTCAGAAGCTGTCTAAGTGTTGATAAAATGTGCATGTTATGTAAAATATTAATGAAAATCTAATCAAATGATGGTCACCGTAAAGAATACATTCATGGCATGATTGTGACAAAAAATCATGTTTCCATCGCGCCATTTGGCTGTTTTATGGAAGAAACAATCTCAAAAATGCCATTTTCGATGATAACATTTTAGACACAAAAACTGTGTTTTTTAGAGAATACACCCTTTTATGGGCGTTGGATGCAAACCAATTTTTATCCTATTAAACAGTACGTAATATGCTATTGATGAGAGGAAAAATCATCAAAATGTAAGTGGTGGAACATTTTCAAATGTTGGGTTGAATTAGCCTATGGTTGAATTGCCGATTTTCGACTTTCTTTAGATAATTAACAAAAAAACGAGAGTATTTGCTCGGTATGTTGAGAATATGTACACAGATATGAAAAAAAGTGAGAGAAACACTTTTTCATAAAAAAAATCCAAGATGGCTACTTCACAAGTCCCCGTGGTTGAAGACATTGGCTGACAAATAGACAGAACAACAAACAAAACGTGTTCCTTATGATTTTGGTTGGTTTTCGCATTTACGGGAGTGTTCATAGCTACGGGCGATTGTATAATACCTATATTTATAAGTTTGGTTAGTCACATGGTAACGGGGATCTTTCATATCGAGCCCCAAACATACTTTCGACATATGCACTCCGTTGCCGCATGGAAAACTATTTCAAGTTTTGTCGGAATTTCTTTACCTGTGGTTGTAATGGTCGAGGGTTTTCCAGCGTCCTGTAATACCCAAGGTAGTACAAGATACTGGAGATGTGCGCACACATTCCCATCGTTCTCTCTCCAACTGGGCACTGGCAGTAGTAGTCCTTTATTGGGGCCTCAACATCGGGTGAAACGGTGAACCGTATCCAAACGTTATATTTCGTTTGGCTTTTGTGTCGAGAATGTATTTGACATCGGAGAAGGTCTGGGGAGTGCTGGTAAAGCCACACCTCATAGTCTCCGTCATCACTTAAATGTTCGGCGATGTAACCAGGAGCCAGAGATATCTGATACGTTCCACACGTAATGGTTCTCAAGTAATCAAGATCGAGACGGGGAAACAGTACGGAAGATGCATCCATCTTGACAAACTCGGACCTTGCCCGTCTAGATAGATCCGGATCTGTCTTGACTCTCTGAGCTAAACCATTCGGTGTTGTCAAACGGTCCTTCATACGTTCAGCCATTAGCCTATCTTTGGCATCTCTCTCTGGAGATCTCTGGTAGATCGGTCCTCTAATACCATTCAGACAGGCTGTGACGGTTCGAAGCAAAGCCTCGATGACATTGATAAAGCTGTTAGACACCAATTGCGTTCGGAAGAACGTCCAGTGTTTCAGACGACCATGATAGGATTCCACAATCCACCTCGATTTGGTGATAGTTCTGTCAAGATTTGCTTGGACGTCAGAATGTTGACTTTGACCGGGTTTCAGGTATGACGGCATGCTAGCATTGAGGCCAGAGGCTTCGAGAACTGGTAGGACATCTCTAAAACCTCGGTCAACGACAACGTTGTCGTCTGGTTGTAGCCAAGTAACTAGCTTGTCCATGACTTTTTTTGTAATTGTAGTATCATTTTCGCTGCCAGTGAATGGTCCTACTGTGTCCAGAATGTAGCCATCTGGTAAGGCAATGCTCATGAATTTGAGATAGTTTCACTTCTTCTGGCCACAGTAGGACATTATCTGGAGCTTGCGGTCGGAGCTTTTCTGGATATAAATATAGGTGCCATCTAATATGGCAGTGGCTTTAATTCCAAAAAATGCTTCTGAAAAGACATTTTTGTGCCCGAGCAACTGTTCTCTTGTCAAGTGATCC